CGGGAAAGCATACATCACAGAGCAACAGTGTACGTAACGGGAAAAAATATTGTAATAACAACAAATATATATATAGAAAAGTGAATAAAAATACAACAACTACAGGAAAAAAAATATCTAAACTTGCGCATAAAACAAAAACAAAATACCTACAACAACCATAGGAATTTACAGTGTCGGTCAAAAAATTAACAAATTTAGAAAATCTTTTTTTTATTTTCTCATGAATTAAAAAAAGCTTAAAATAATAATTAAATTACATATAAATTAAAATTAATAAATTTAGTTCTCAAAATTGTGGATATAAAAAAAATTAAAAAACTTAAAAATATGCGTTAATAATTTTGATAATTATTTATAACTAAATTTATTATGTTTTATAAAGAAAAGTTATAAAAATCGGTCAAAATATAAACAGAATATTATAAAATATAAAAACTTTATTTAATTGCTATTAAATTAATTCGAATTAAATCAAACTCCGCGGATTTAGAAACAACGAATAGAATATTATTTTAAATTTGAAAAATTATTTTAAATTTGAAAAAAACTGTAAATTACACACATTTTTAAAATAACGTTACCGTTTTTGCTATTGAATCAGGATCAAAATTTTATTGCATTTTTAAAAATTATTTAATATACATTAAATACGATCATATGGATGAAATATGTATTTAAATTTTAAATACATATTTCATCCATATGAAAAAATCATAGCTGTAAAATTTTGATTACGATTAATAATCAATTAAATTATTTTTCAAAAATAATCGTAATGATTATTTAATTCTCTGGTATAAAATTTCTGATTATTAATTGATTACGATTAAAATTAATCTAAAAATAATCTGGATTAATTTAAATGAATGAAAATAATCAAAAATAATCAGAATTAATCAAATAATTAATTTGATTATTTTAAAGGATTAATTTCGATTATTTTTGATTAATTTCAATATATTTGCTACAATTCTCTGTCTTTTTACATTACGTGTAATGGAAAACTGTTTTCCAAGTTACACACTATTCGATTATGTGACTTTTTTTTTTAATTGAAAATTTATTATGTTTCGTTTGAAAATATTGATCTCAGAAAAAAATGACTGCAATCTTTTCGAAATGGGTCTCAAAAAATCCGTAATTTTTAGCGGATTACCGGAAAAATAATTAAATTTTTCTTGGAGTTTTTTTTTGGGAGCAAATTATACTAAATATATGGAAAATAATCAAAATTAATCCATGAAAATAATCAACTAATTTTTTGATTAATTTTGATTATTTTCATTAATTCCAATTAATCTCTGATTATTTTTAGATTATTTTTAATCGTAATCAATAATTAATTAAAAAAATTGAAAATAATCGTTGATTAATCATAAATTTCACCTTTATAATAAAAATAATCTAATCAATAATGATTACGATTATTTATCATTATTTTACAGCTACCCAGCAAAAAATAATTGATGTCATACTTTACAAACGACATCTTAATCACATCTAAAAATGCGATTGCATATTTTTCGCTTCTTTAAACCAAATATTTCCTTACAAATAAAAACCGAGTTAAAAGTGAGGAAAGAAATGTTGAAAGTCACTACAAATAACATATTCGAAGTACATCAAATTTTGGTGAAAATCCAATGAAATTTACATAAGCGTGTCATTGAAAGAATGTGGTTTATTTGTGACATCCAAATATCGGATTTTTACTGCATCTATGAATAAGATTAGATGTAGTTCAAAGTTGTCAAAAATGAACAACATCCCTCCAATGACACGCTAATTTAAAATTCATAGGTTTTTCACCAAAATTGGAAGTACTTCAAGTATGTTATTTGTGGTGAAAATTCTACTTCTTTTTCCTCACTTTTTTTGCTGGGAATGTTTAAAATAAATAATAATATGCTATTCCGAAAAATTGCTGAATAAAATTTTAAAATTTGTTTGAAAACCGGTTACATTACACAGTAAGACAAAATAAACGAAAATTGAAAAACCTGAGAAGTGATACTATTTTTCTGAAAGGTGGATCCGAGTAGAATATATTTTTGAAATTTGTTAAACACCTCCAAAATCTTGACATACGGGTAAAAAACAGGGGTTTCGTACCTTTAAACGCTTAGTTGAATCCCAACCGATATAAAGTTTCTCAACGAATTTAGAAAGCAGGAGCTGAGGCCTTTATAATGACATACATATATGATGCTTAAGTAAGCTAGAGAAATATGTTTGCATTTCATCGGCAAACATGTTTTTACAAAGTATTTTATAAAGGAACTGAACTATTTATTAATCCATTAAAAAACTATATCTGTTCATAAGTAAATCGCAACCATTCTTTTTAAAATCCATTAGCAATTGACGACGTTATTGATCTTTTTCTTAATACAAAAGTGTTCAAAAACTGATTTTCTGAAAAATGCTTTATATGGGGTATAGGGTTAAATATGGGACGATCCTCATAAAATTTGGTAGAACGATTAATGTTTTTATAAAATCTCCAAAATCTTGAGATATTGGTAAAAAAAACTGTTATTTGCCTTTATTAAGAGAATTATGGAATTAATGTCATTTCCTGAAGGAGGATTTGCATGGGGGCTAGGGTCAAATAAGTCCGTATTATTTAAAGAATTAGCTATATCACTAAAGATTATACCAAACTCATTTATACCGATTTTTTTATTGATAATATAACGGTAAAATAACGGTTTTTACTTATATCTCAAAATTTTTGAGGTGTTTGGCAAATTTCAAAAACAGATTCTTGTTCTACTCGTTTCCACCTTGCAGAAAAATAGTAGCACTTCCCACGTACACATTTATTTTTGTCACATAGTGTTATTAAAACATAATTAAAGTGTAAAATGTTAATGTGTTAAATTAAGCAATGTCGAATCGTATATTTCTTCTTCTTTAAACTTTTACAAAAATTTTGTGCATAAATGCTTAAGATATGAGTAAAATCCAAAAAATAAAAAACAATGTATAGTCTGATATTGCAATATGATACCCTAAACCAGCGAGTAGTATGTACAACATTTTAATTATTTTAGATAATAAACCATTTAAGTTGTTTATTGCCTTAATTCAACAATTTGTCGATAAAAAAAATTTGATTTTCTGAAAGAGGGGTTATAGGGGGGATAAATATGGATCTATCCTTATATACATACATATATTGGTAGATATATACATACATATGTAGGTTTGTATTAAAGTTATTTATGCAAAATTTCATCATGATGTTAGTGTTTATAAGTGAATTTTGACCTACAAGTTTCTGAAGGTGACTAGGGGCTAGGGTCAAATGATGTCCGATCATTTCGAAAATCGGTAGTATCATTTAGTCTTATATAAAACGATTTTTCTAGAGATACAAGAACATTTAACATTGTAGGGGTGTCTAGGATAAATAATTAACCGATTTTAACCAATAAGCTTCATTCTTGGGTCAAAAGAAGAGTATGTGACAAATTTTATCAAATTTTACTGAAAATGTATGGACATAGACGGACGGACGGACATAGCTTAATCGTCTTAGATAGTGATTTTGAAGCAATTGGTATACTTTAAATGTATGTGGGACCAATATTTTTGTGTGTTACAAACATCAACACAAACTCCATTATAGCAGTGTAGGGTATAAACATAAAAATAATAGTATTACAAGTAGCATAGGTAGGTAGGTAGGTCGATAGGAGGATGTATACTACATCAAATCCGAAGAAATACACCTAGGCCACTATCGGGCCTGTTGTGCGCTCCTTATCATGAAACTCAGTTTCCTGAACGTAATTCCTAAGAATCTTCCAATCAGTGTTAGTCAGGAATGTTATTTCTGGAATAACATCACTTCCAAGATACTTGGATCTAACTTCGACGAATGCCTGGCAGTGGCAAAGAAAGTGCTCCAGAGTTTCACAGTCCTCTCCACATGCTCTACATTCGGCTGAAACCGCACGTCCAATTTTGCATAGATGTGCTCGTAGTCCTGTGTGTCCACTCAGAATACGTACCATCATACTAACTTCAGACTTGCTCATTTTGAGGAGATTTTTCGTCTTGCTCTCATCAGGATCACCTCATAGGATCTTCGTGGTTCTACCCACTGTTTCATTATTCCAAGAGGCCTTATGGGATTCTCTCACCCATATTTTTAGTTCAGCTTTTGTTGCGTCGAATGGTTTTGCGTTTGTCAGGTTAACTGCCTCGAGCTCCCTTCCCTTTAAAGCTATTACAGTCGCCCTTTCGTTACCGACTACTCCCGAGTGGGTTGGTACCCATATGATGTGAACCTTACTTCTAGGAGAGTATTCAGTTAAAGCTTTCTTATAATCCAATACGGTCTTAGATTTAGTTCTATCGCCTGATATCGCCCTAAACGGTGGTAGCATAAAATAGGCGACATTTACGAACATTTCCTTTCAATACAGAGGATAAATAATGAATGACTGTTTAGGTCCATTTGCATTCAGATCGCTCTGAGTTTAATATTTGTTTTATATTAATTTTGTATTAATTTTTACTTGTAACCACACAGAAAAATTACAAAGGAGCAAAACCATCAATTAAGGGAACTTTTTGCGGACATTAGAACTAGTAATAAACTGGTTCTAAAGGACCCAATTGGGTTCAACTGTACCAGTATAATGTATGTCAATTTGAGCATTAAGATGTTATAGGAAAGTTTACAGTTAGGAACTAGTACTGGTGGTTTTTGTACTAGTAAAATACTAGTTTGGTAATAGTTCCATTACCTGCAGGAATAACTCAAATACTTTGGTCTTTTCCTAGACAAATGTTTATCAAATGAAAGGTCTTTACAAATGTTTTATTTTCATATTCATATTCCTAATAGTTCCCTAAAGCTTACCTAGAACGACATCCGAGTATATAAAATTCAAATAAAAATAACTGATATAAGAACTGGATTCAGAACCGTTCTATAGAAAAAGTATCGATACCAAAACGCTACCACATAACCACTTCAGAAGGTGACAATTTCGAAAAAAAAATCATAGAT